TTAAATTTCCCCAGTGAAATATTCATGTAGTCATTCACCAAGGAATTATCGAACATCTGCCAGGTGCCAGACCTCAGGCCCGGGGCTGACATGGAGAACAAGAGTAGATACTGCCCCTGCCCTTTCGGAAGTGGCCTGAGGACATTAACGAGTAAGAAATGAACACGCAAGATTTCCCTAGAGCGCTGGCAATGTGATCCATGAGGAACATGAGCAGGGAGATACAGTGGAGCATGGTGGTGAGACAGGCCGGTCCTGGAGACCGTCTGCTGGGAAGGCTTGTGCCAGTCGAGGGGTTTAACTCAGGAAAGTTCTCTGGAGGTAGAGGATTGCGTGGAAGAGGGAAATCCCATGGGCCAACGAAATGCAGTGCGTGATTCTTAGTGGATCGTGGATCTTGAAAAGCAGCTCTAAAGGACATCATTTGGACAACCAGCAAAGTCCCAACTATATAGACTGTGCAGACAACAGTGCTGTGTCTGCGTTAAATGATGGACATTTAACCTCATGCCTTGATGTCTGCAACTAACTCACAAATGGTTCATAAAATAATCACACACACACACACACACACACACACACACACACACACATCACAGCAAATACGACCACAGAGTGTTAATGGTTGGTGAATCTAAGTGGAAAGTGTATGGGCGTCATGTCATTCTTAGATTTCTGTAGGCTGAAGCTTTTCAAAATAAAAAGCTGGGGGACAAAACAGTGGCTTGCAGATTCTTTCAGGCCACGGAGAGTCTGGAAATCCCGATTTGGCCGTGCTCACCAGGTTAAGAGCACAGGGAAGCACATGTGTAAGAGGCAGGTGGTTTAGGATGACCTGTGCTTCTGCAGGGGCCAGGCCCTGGACAACAGACCCGCGTGCTGCCTGGCCTCCCGCAGTGTGGCCTTGCCCCAACCCCACCTAGTGGACCCATCTGTATCTCCACCGCCTTGACCCTGGGCAGGTCGATGACAGCTTTGACCGATGGAACACAGTGGGAGCGATGCTGAGCCAGCTCTCAGAGCTGGCTCTGGTTGCTCCCCCTTGGAAACCAGCCACCGTCTAAAAAAGTGCATCTACCCTGAGACCACCACGCTGCATGAAGACCCTGGAGGACAAGATGTCACAGGGTGGCAGCAACCAGGGAGGACCAAGGTGGCAGACCCATGGGTGAGGAGGGCCTCTTTGAAGCAGATCCTGGGTTTCAGTCGCCTCAGTGGAAGCCATGTGGACCAAACAGCCTAGCTGAGCCCCATTCAAATTCCAGACCCACAAAACTAAGCAAAACTCAAGTTACTCTAAGCCTCTAAGTGTGAGGCTTATGAGGCAGCAACAGCACCCAGGACACTGTTAGAGACTGGTAGCCCGTGTTAAGAAGTTGGGTCGTGCAATAGCACTGCTAGGAATTTACCCGAGGGATACAGGAGTACTGATGCATAGGGGCCCTTGTACCCCAATGTTTACAGCAGCACTCTCAACAATAGCCAAATTGTGGAAAGAGCCTAAATGTCCATCAACTGATGAATGGAAAAACAAATTGTGGTTTATGTACACAATGGAATACTACGTGGCAATGAGAAAGAATGAAATATGGCCCTTTGTAGCAACATGGATGGAACTGGAGAGTGTGATGCTAAGTGAAATAAGCCATACAGAGAAAGACAGATACCATATGGTTTCACTCTTATGTGGATCCTGAGAAACTTAACAGAAACCCACGGGGGAGGGGAAGAAAAAAAAAAAAAGGTTAGAGTGGGAGAGAGCCAAAGCATAAGAGACTCTTAAAAACTGAGAACAAACTGACGGTTGATGGGGGGTGGGAGGGAGGGGAAGGTGGGTGATGGGTATTGAGGAGGGCACCTTTTGGGGTGAGCACTGGGTGTTGTATGGAAACCAATTTGACAATAAATTTCATATATTGAAAACAGAAAAAAAAGAAGTTGGGTCATTATTGTAAATAATGCTGCTATAAACAGGGCACATATATCCCTTTGAATTAGTGTTTTTGTATTTGGGGGTAAATACCCAGCAGCACGATTACTGGATCGTAGAGTAGTTCTATTTTTAACTTGTAACTTAACATACTATAGCAGCCTTATTTACAAGAGCCAAACCATGGAAACAGCCCAAGTGGCCATCGAGTGATGAATGGATAAAGAAGATGTGAAATATATATATATATATATATATATATATATATATATATATATATATACTGGAATATTGCTCAGCCATAAAAAGGAATGAAACCTTGCCTTTTGCAATGACATGGATGGAGCTAGAAAGTATAAGGCTAAGCGAAATCAGTCAGAGAAAGACAAATACCATATGATTTCACTCAGGTGCAGTTGAAGAAACAAAACAAATGAGCAAAGGGGGAAAAAAGAGAGACAAACCAAGAAACAGACTCTTCGTTATTGAGGGCAAACATGGTTACCAAAGGGGAAAGAGCGGGGATTTGGATGAAACAGGGGTTGAGAATTAACGCATACACCTGCTGTGATGAGCACTGAGTGTGATGCATGGAAGTGAATCACTTTTCTGTACACCTGAAACTAACATAGCACTGAATGTTAACTCTACTGGAATTAAAATGAAAGCTTAGAAAAGAGAAAGAGGTTGGGTTGTTGTCTTGGGAGTTATGGAGAGCCAGTGAAGGTTTCAATCAAGATGTTAACACGATCAGAAGAGGTTGCAATCACTCTGGTTGCCACGTAGAAAATAAGCTGGAGACTGGGGTGAGGGTGGTGGGTAGACCAGGGAACGAGGGTGACTAATTACAAATCTATTGCAATGGTCAGAACAAGACGACAGCAGCCGGGCTGGGAAGTGATGTGGACAGAAGCCGTGGAAGTGATGTCCGGGGATAGGGGAATCAAGAATGAATACTTTCCAGGGAATCTTCAATGAATATACCAGGCAGACCCCAGCGTCCAGTTACTCTGCCCCAAGGCTACTAAGAAGCACAGAATAAATGTGCACACCCTTCTTCCTCCAGGAAAACATGGCAGAGGAAAATGTAGAATGGCCATAAAACGAATCATTGGAATCATTTCGCTTCTTTGGGGAATATCTGATTTTTAAAAAGAACAACTTTTATCAGACCAAGCCAAACCAAATTTTTTTGATTAATACTTGAGAATTTAATTGAATATAGAGATGTATATATCCCAGGTCAATGGCCAGATGTTGAGGGCAGTGGAATTTCGCGTTTCGCCTCCTACATTTAATGCCACAAATTTCATCTCTGAGGCTTGATTACAATGTGGGGAAATGGCCACCAGGTGGCACTATGCCTCTTCTCCGCCTTTCTGAAACTGAAATGAAACCTTTTTGTCCTTTGCGCGTTGAAACCAACTGTCACAATGCCACTAAATAATATATTTGAAATACGGTGTCAGTGTGGCAAGTGTTTTAGCTATTACCTAGATACAACACGGTCCATTTCTCCCAGGCCTCTACATTGATTCTGAAGGGGTTCAGAATAAGTCTCCCCAAAATGTGGACTATTGACATGTGGACTGTTTTGAGCGGAAGGCATTCAAGACCCAGCAGACTCAAGAAAAACTTGTACCTCTTCCTTAAACTACCTACAAGAATTTAGATAGGGGGCCTGGCCCAGAAAGAGGGCTGTTACCAAGAGGTCACTTGTTAATCTGAATGACATATCTGTATGGCAAGAAGAACGTTTCATTACCGAACACCTGCTCTTCTACTGCTGTGAGTTGAGTCACCCTCCCCCACTGTGGAGCCCCAGGCCCCTGTCTCATTCCTCAGCTCAAGATGCAACGTTAGCCTCCATTTCCCGGCTTGCCCTTGGGCCTCGTGGTCCCTGTGGCAGTCTGCTGTGTACTAATTAAATCTGTGTTTCTCTTGTTAATCCGTCCTAGGTTAATGTGATTATTAGACGGGTCACAAAAAGCCAAGAAGGGCAGAGGAAAAAAAAAAAATGTTTCTTTTCTAACACTTCTCCGTCGATTCGGATTCTGACCTTGATTCACACAATGTAACCAGAATGACCACAGACGCCCGCTGGCTTTCCTAACGAGTCAAAAGCCCTTCCCTGACGGCGTTCCCCATTCCAGAATGCCGCCTGCACTTGGAAACCACAGCCCTTGCGGGTGGATTTTATCACCCTTCCTCCTCTCTTCCTTGGGTCCACCAGGAGAGCCTGAGGTTTTCCTCGCAGACAACATAGAGAATGTGGCTCATGGAGACCAGTCTTCTACTTGGGTTAGGTTTGCAGCTGAAAGTAATGGATTTTGATCTACCTCACTCGACTCCAATTTGACGAAAGGGTGGAAAAAGGAATCGAAAGGCATTGACGCCCGTGATCATCCCTGCCTCCACTCCTTTCCTTTTCGCACGGGAAGCCAAAGCTTTCCAGAATACGGTAGCAGCATGTACACGTAGGTAAGGAGAGACTTGGGTCACGCGCCACAAAACGCCCGCTTGACCTGCCCATCAGGTTGCCCACAGGGAGGGGGAGATGGCTTTCCAAGAGGAATTTGGGGTGTTGTTACCAAAGCAAAGGGGACTGAATATCAGCCAGTCAAAAAAAAAAAAAAAAGCAATAAATATCCGCATGGATAGGTATTTCAAACATGAGTGGACCATGGGTAGGAGGTGAGATTTCCTTTCTTTTTTTAATTTATCAGTTTTGGTGGGACTACACTGAAGTCAGGTCACTGCATTTCCAAACCGCCTTGGAGGTTCACTCGGCGTTTCATGACCCTCAACGAGACAGCGGACAGCCAGCAGAGAGGAAAGGAAGTTCGGGCGGGCAGCGCAATCACGCCTCCGAATTCGGGCTGTCTGGGTTGGTGGACAAGGCTAAACCTCCTGTGAGACGTTCCCAGTTGCGGTCCACCCACCTCTCCGGATCTGGATCCCTGAGAGCCTGTCAAAGCGGCAGGTTCCCAGGCCCCGCCCCTGGAGGGACGGACTCCAACAGTCTAGGGCGTGGCCACGAATCCGCAGGGCCGCCTGCTCCCCAGGGGACCGCAAGGCCGTGGGTCTGTGGACGCTTCACGAAACCCTTTTCTCCCACCCGCAGCTATGCAGCCCTTTCCACGTACGATGAGAGAGAAAATCGGCCAACCTCGAAACCAGGTGAGCCTCTGGCACCAACTGGCCATTGTTTTTGCCACGTTTTGCCCCGTCTTGCCCACGGGGCCTCTCCGCCTCCGTTGCCAGAAAACAAGCCGAGCAAGACGGAGGCTGAGAGGGAAGACTGAGTCATCACCCTTTCACAGGTAGTCTGGTTACTGTGTCAACTCACCGGGGGGTGGGGAGGCAGGAGCCGGCAGGCCACACCTTGCTCCCAGCAGGCAACTCGGAGATCTGCGATGTCTGCGGTTCACGGTTCACGCTGAAGGCTCCAGATCCCTGCTTGCAATTCCCAGCAGCCTGCTGCTCCCATTAACCCCCTTAAAAGGCCTCCAGCCACCTGCCGCTCCACAGGCTGGCTCCAAGCTTTCCTGCTCTCCCTGGCACCTCTCCTCCCAGAAGGTCCGTCTCCACCGTCAGCTCAGCCACCACCTCCTCCAGGAAGCCCCTCCTGATTCAGTTCTGCTGTTTCTGGGCTCTGCTCACTCTGGAGCCTTCCGTACTTCCTCGAACAACCCATCGCCTACCACTGTTTGGTTTTTTTTTGTTGTTGTTTTTTTTTTTATTGTAAACATAAGACACCTAACAGGAGATCTACCTTCTTAAGGTTTTGAGGGTATGCCATCATTTGCCACAAGCACTATGGCGTCCAGGAGATCTCTAGAACTTTTGCAAGCTGCACGGCCAAACCTCCATACCCACTGAACCCCAGCCCCGCATCCCCCTTCCCCCAGCCACTGGCAGCCGTCATCGTACTTTCTGTTCCTATGAGTTTGACTACTTGAGGCACCTCAAGGGATATCAACAGGTGGTAACCAACTAGATGCCCATCGACAAGTGAATGGATAGGGACAACATGGTATCTACAGACCAGGGAATATTATTCAGGCATAAAGAAGAAGGAAATCCGGTCACATGCTACATCGTGGGTGAACCTGGAGGACGGTGTGCTAAGTGAAATAAGCCAGTCACAGAAGGTCAAATACCGCACGGGCCTGACTGTTACTTGATTGCACCTGACTTATGACGCAGACCAGAGACAGGTTCTCAGCCCCGGGCTACATGTTAGAATCACCTGGAGAATTTTAACAACTTCCACACCCGGGCTGCTCCCCGGGCCAATAAATGACCGCCTCTGCGGGATCCGGGCTTCAGAAGCTTCCCAAGTGGTGCTGGCATGTGGCAAGAACCCAGGATTTGGAGTAGGAAAATCTAATTTCTAGCCTGGGATCTACCACTTTACTTGACAGGTGGCCTTGGCCCAGTGACTCGACAATAATAATTCGAGGTTAATAGCCCTCTCTGAGCACCGTCTGTATGCTTCCTGCACTTGCTGCAACAGCCAGTTTCGTTTTACAGGAAGCAGAGGCCCAGAGAAATCAAGCAGTTTGCCACGAGTCACCCAGCAAGGAGAATGCTGGGACCAGAGGCTCGGCAGGGTCATTAGCCCCCACGAGGCATGTCTCGTTGGTCCCAGTGAGATATTTCGTTGTGATCCAGGAATCACAGCTTATTCTGAAAAGGTCTGGGCTGGGGGTCTTTCGGGATCCTTTTTTTCTGGACCAAAGTCCACCCATCCCAGGCTGCCATAGGATGACAGAGGATGACAAACAGGAAACGCGGGCTTCCGGAAAAAGCAAACCTAAGCTTAGCTAAGAGGATAGAGGCATGGTGGGCCGCCTGTTAACCCTCCTCTCCCCTTCCCTCCCGGATGAGGCAGCAGCACGTCCAACTTCTTCTGGCCCCCAAAAATCTGTTATTTAAGGTACACCTGTGCCAAGGTCGAGCCACACACACCTCTCCTTCCTCGCATGCATGCGAGGCCCCGGGGAAACGGCACCGTCGCCCTTCCACAAACACAAAGAAGCAGTCGCTTCCCGGCTCCTCCTGTCTCTGTTTATTCCAGCTGATGACACATATTGAGCAAACGTACGGCTTAAGCTCTGGGACCGGGAACGTCCTGTGCTGTTCTGCCGTGTGTTCCGACACGTGCCAAGGGCCACAGCCGGGTCCTCTGTTGTCGGCTCTGCCCTGTTCTCTTGCAGTGATGCGAGCTGCGTGGGGCCCAGCCACCCTCACGGCAAATTTCCAGCAGTGCTCTTGCAGCCTTCTGGGGTCACCAGTCACCGTATTTCCCGGTGTATGAAACTCTATGGCGGTGGTTCCCAACTGAGGGCAATTTTGGCAACGTCTGAAGACCTTTTACCTTGACGCAATTTGGTGTGTGTGGAGGGGGCAGGGGGGAGTGTCTCCTGGCATCCAGTGGGTGGATTAGACAGGGCTGCTGTTACATACCTGACACACAGAGGACAGCCCCCACGACAGAGAATTATCTGGTCCCAAATGTCCATCGCGCCAACGCTGAGCAACTTTGGTCTATACCACAGAGCTCTTGCGAGGACAAATTTTGAAAGAAAACATTCGCAAGGACTTCTCGTGATAGAATTATTTAAAATGACTTCGAAGGGGGCTGGCACTGAAAATATACTCTTTTCTCACGTGAGAAGAGTCATTCTATAGTGACACCCGGTTGTAACCTGCAGATCTGTGTCCGTGGGGCCATAGTCTAAGTACCAGCATCACGTGGCTAAAAAGGAATAAATGGAGTTAATGAAAAGAGGACCATAGCAATGTTCTGGCGGTAGAGATTTCACTGTAGAGTAATGAGGAACAGCTCACATTAGCCCTTATCAGCTGTGTTGGATTTGGCTAAAGTGGATATGAAAGACCCTATCTGCTAAGGGTGCTTTATTGCTATGTTGTATTGCCACACGCCGCCACTAGGGGGTGGTAGTGTCACCAGCTCTTTCACTTTCCAGCCGCTTGGCCTGCCCAAGTCCATAAAGCAAATACATTGGAAGCAGGACACTTTTTCGATACATACTGTTGTGGAGGGAGGCATAGAGACTGGCATACATGTTCCAGTGTTCATCTCCAAATGCAAAATTAAAACTCATCTGACTCCGGTACATAGGTCTGATCCCTTAAAATGATGACATGCAAACTTGAAAAACCTGGGAGTTCTAAAATTCAGATCCTGAGACAGGTCCTTAGAGATTTAACAGGTCTGCATTTTCACGAGCATTTCCCGAATGGTGTGTGCTCTAAAAGGCTCAGTTGCTACACACACACACACACACACACACACACACACACACACACATACACAACCCGTTCTCTACTTTATGCCCCTAAATGGAAGTTGGCACTAACAAATGACACGAATGGCCTCAATACTTTGCTCCCTCCCGCCTTCACCTTCTCACCCCCGTCCTCTGTGAAGTGACAGTGTGGTCTTCCCAAATGAAGGAGGGAGTTGTTTCCTCTCCCTGGAACCTGGGTAAGACTTGTAACCTGCTTGGCTAACAAAAGGCAGCAGAAGTGGTATCCCAATTCCGAGCCCAAGAGAACATATGTTTCCAATTGGTCTCCTCCATCTGTGCCATCACCATAAGTCTATACCCGAGTCATTTTGAAACGGGATGAGAGACACCTGTCGAACAAGGTTCTGCTTGTCATACAGCAGTAGCTAAGTCATCCGCTCCCATCTTGCAAGCGTCCACCGTCCATCAAAGGAGGTGGTTTTTTAAAAATGTTTATCTATTTTTGAGAGAGAGAGAGAGAGAGAGAGAGAGAGAGAGAGAGAGA